TATAGGTCGGATTCCCAGTTTAGTTCGAGGCTCGCAATCATCGTACCTGATTGTGGAGTGAAGTCCTCTACTTATGGGTGGTAGTCCCGCTAATCTCGCAACGGTTATACTCGGTAATCTCGGGATTGTCGGTTATGCCCGGTAATCTCGGGACCGACGATTATGCCCGATAATCACGCCGCTGACAGTAATTCGCATCGGCCCCCACCGAGCTTCCCGGTAGGTCGGACCTCGGCCAGGTTCACCTCGGCCCTCATACTTAGCATCTATCAACGCTAGTAGTGGTGATCTCGTCTGAGCTGGACATGATTCATGAGTCATCTTGGAGCACCAATAGGGGTCCTCCACGTGTCCAGGGTATTCTCTTCCCCAAACAAAGTTACATGTTCACAACTTCATATGATATATCTTTTATTTTTCTGATGAACTATGTGCGTACTTTAAAGTACACTATTTATGATAAGAATGTACCAATTGCAAAATAAATTTGGATATCTAACTACATCCGGTTCAAGCATTACATGTGTTGCATTATATGTGTTTTTCAATCTTTGTCGATCAGCCTAGTTATTCGATTTTACTTGTCATGTGTGTAGCATATATGAAGTTGATAATTGTGAAGCAAATATCTTATAATATTTTTTTTGTTTTAATTTTTTATTTCTTTTTAATATTAGATTTAGCTACTTTTGAATTTTGAAATAATTATATAAGCTTTGTTAGACATTTTTAGATAAGCTTCATTAAAATTACTCATATATATTGTAACATGCCATATTTAATTATGTGATAACATGAGTATAACTCGACATGTCAAGATATTAATTACATTTTTAATGATAAGAGGTTCAAATCTCATAGCTTCTGGTTGAACTAAAAATAAATAAATAGATACATAACATAAGTAATTTAATCAAGATATGTCGTATGAAAGGCATACTGATGTCACATGACTATTTGATATAAAAAGACAAAACAAATTATTCAGAGTATTCAATTGTAAATTAGAAGATCTATTGATATTCTAATAGCTAGCCCATTGAACGGCTGACACGTTATCATGACCAAGTTTTAACAAATCCATTAATTACAATTTTCTCAATAGACAATTTTTATTGGGATACTACTAAAGGTATCACGTTCATATGCACACTCACTTTAAAATAGAAGTATCTGTTTTTAAGGGTCAATTGCCCATATAAAAAGCAAATCTAGCACAAATTAAAAAGATTACCAAATATATGACACAATTTTAATTAAAAAATTAAGGTGATCAATATAGATCAACCTTGCATGAATCTATTAGTGATCAAGCGTGGTATGAAAAACCTATCATTGATAGATATATCAATAATAGACATATGATAGACCTTATCTTTAATTGATATCGATAGATGTCTCTCATTAATAGACACCGATATACATCTATCCTAAATAATTTTGCCATATTTCAAAAAACTTAGTCTAGGTGCCATATTCAACTATTTTAGCCTATTACGATTCTCCTTTATTTCAATATCTCATTTTGCCAAATGAGCACGATGAGTTTTGACACATTTGAATAATGCTTATCACATATTAAGACCTTCTTAGCTTCATGGGTACACAATTCTAGTCCAACCATTATGATAGTTTATTGTCGTGAAAATTCATTGTTGTATTTATTGTTAGTTACGACAAAAAATAAAAAATTAGGTCCCATTCCAAATAGGACAGAGAGAGAGAGCCTCCATTTATGAAGAGAATAACTTCAAATGCATGGGATCCAAAAATGTTTAATAAGAATAAAGTCATCCAACTCTTTTATTGATGGAAATATGGGGAATTATGACATCACCATACGATCAGTTGAATGAAAAGAAAAGCAGAACTTGGTTTCAAGCACAGTCATAGGTGNCGGCTACAAGGAGGGGGTTGTAGAGAACTGGAGGTGGAGATGTGGGCCAAAAAGGAGGGGTTGCTGCAATAAGGAGAAATCCTAGACTCCTTTTCTTCAACACACAAGGTTATAGGATGCTAGGTTTTCTTAAATTTCCGTAGAAATATTCATATTTACCCCTTCCTATTCAGGAATTTTAGATTTTAAATCTATAAATTTAAAAATCTACCTTTAACAAAATTTGAGTAATTCTAAAATCTATTTTCAAAATACAGAGTAGCAATTTTAAATTAGATTTAGGTTGTTTAAATTTGATTGTTTTATTAGATATAGTTGATTCCCTACGATTAAGGTTGATGTTTTTGCTCTTCGTTTTGTTAAATAATTCCCTAAAATTAAGGATATACACCTAATTTGTTACGGGATATATTGGTCTAAAATATTTATTCGGATTAAAAAACCCACTTTGTCATTTATGCCAGATATGTTTGCATCTTTTTTACAGACTAACCTTAAGATTTAGCCCAAATTAGATTTGACCTGCTTTTTAAAACTAAATTTATCTAGCCTTTTGCCAATGTTAGCATACACAAAATTACTTTTTTGGCCACGTTGAAAACTCTCGTTAAAATTCTTGCTCTTGCTTCCCTCTATCGCAATTCTCGCTCTCGTGCCTCTCCCTCCATCGCTCTTGTCCTCTACTCCTCTCCATCTCTCGCTCTTGCTCATATCCTCTTCTCTCCATCTCTCACTCTCGCTCATCTTCTCGCTCTCGCTTGTATCCCTCATTCACATTATCACTCTTCTCTCCCTCCCTCACGCTCGCTCACAATCTCCCTCACTCTCGTCTTGGTCGTGTTTGGGTGATGGGACTCTGTTTACTTTTATTTTTGTGGTCTTACTCTCCCCAAATTTTTAAAAATTCATTGTCATGATTTTTTTCAAAAACCATAGATTTGTCAATGATAGGTATGCGTTTAATGTTGCTTGATTTTTCTTCTTTGTTCACAATCTTCAATTGATGATGAATCTCAAGCTCTAACAATACGGCATCATATAAAATTTCCACGAGTTATAAATCCAAGATAATTTGTTAATTGGGGAGAACTTCAGTAGTCAGAAATGTAATTTCACATGATGGCTGACACTAGTAAACGGATAAAAAAAACCTATTTTGAAAAAGTAGGTCAAATATAATTTAAAAAAACAGAACTGCATTTCATAATTATTTCATGTTCCTTCTTTTTTATTGAAAAAAAAAAATAATTCAACACATGTTTACTCTTTCTTGTTTTCTAAAATCTTAAATTAAAAACATAAAATTTTTATATAAATATTAATTTTTTGAACAAATATCAAAATTAATTTTTAAATTAAGTATGCAAATATTTTATGTTACATTTCTTTTTTAATATTTATTATTCATTTTGTAAGTCAAGAATGATAAAATAATGTCTTTTATTTATGTTTGGGAGAAAAGAAACAAAAAACCAGAAACCAAAACTTGATTGCTTATAAAATTTCTACACAATTTTAGAAACATTTCTTAAAAATAAGAAACGAGAAATAAAGAACAATAACCAAATAAGCAATCACATTTCTCAAGAACTAAAAACGAGAAATAAGAAAAAAATATGGAAACATTATTGTACGACCAATTTAAGGGCATCTCATTATACCCTGTAAATCAAACAGTATAATATGATGAAATATTCTTAAGCATGAAATCATACAACATTACATTCTAAGACCAAACATGAAACTTTATCAACTGGTTAGAATAGTAATAGAGCTAGAGATAAGAACCTACCTTTAGTCTTTCAATCAAACCACCCTACATACAAGTCATGGAGACACACTAATGAAGTGATTCAAAAATGCTGAAGGCATCATTTTCAACCACTCCGATTACGTTACGGTCCAAAATTGGAGTTTGTCTTGCACCCCTTCCCTCTGAAGTCTGATTTGAATCCAACTCCTATCAATAAGCCGAGAGGTAGTTATGGGTAGACGATAGACAACAAAATCAACGTTTATCCTATAACAGTGCACCTGAGAATTAGACGGTGAGGGACGCGCCGTTATCTGCTGTGGTAAGATTGAGAATCATTGTAGCTGCCTTCAAAGCCCTAATACAATGAAGAGAGAAAACTAGTACGAGCATCAGCTATATTTCCAATTTAACATCTTAAAGCTTCATATAAGTCTAATAATCAAGAGCAATTACGTATATTCGTTCTGTCATGCTAAACAATACTGTAAATCTTGGTATGTTCAACAGAAAAAATTCAGTACTTGCCACAAAGTATCTCTATTAGTTATCCTTCTAGCAATACTTAAAACATTATTGATACCTATTCTTGGGAGGATAGGTGGTTTGGGAATCGACCTTTCTGTTCTTTATTCCCTTGCCTTTACCTGCTGTCTTCTATGAAGGGTCGTTCGGTGGCTTCAGTTTTGCCTAGAGGCAATGAGTCCTCCCTTTTTCTTGGTTTCATCTTCCTTTGCCCGATAAGGAGATGGAGGATTTCGTGGCCTTGTTAGCCTGATTGGGGGGACTTTGTTGTTAATCTGGGGAGGAGCGATGTTCAACTGGTCTCCTAACCGTTTAGAGGATTTTACCGTAAATCCTTTTTTTCGTGTCTAGCGGACCCCATCCTCTGGGCTTTCACTGCTCTGTTTTTTATTCACTTTGGAAGGTTAAAATTCCAAAGAAGATTACATTTTTTGCCTGACAGGTCTTACGTGATAGGGTTAATACTTTGGACCTCAGCTTAACATTCCCCTTACTTTCTACCGTTCACAAGCAATCAGACTGGAAAAATAAGAAAAAGTAATGGAGCAATATTCATCTCTTTTTGCTTCCAGAGTGAACCAGGCATATGAACATATATTAGAGCAAATAAATCACCATACCATGCATCAGGAGCCTGGTACAAAGAAGCTGAATCACCAAAGCATGAGGCAAGCATGTCTGTGTTTATAACTCCGGGATTTAGCGCAACAATTGCCATTCCCTCTGGCAACTCTTTAGCCACTGATCTGGTCAGACCCTCAATGGCCCATTTTGAAGCACAGTAGGGCGCAACCTACAACAAATTTTAAAAATATCAGCTTACTGCCTTCTTCCATCCTCTACTTGACAGTCTATAGTTGGTATACACAATTTCCCTTTCGTGGATCCATTTTATATCCGTAAAAGTTCATCATAATCATTTTACGTTGATAGAGTTCATGTACTTGAACAGGAAAAAAAATGCAGCTTGTCACGTAGGAGAAACTGATAGAACGCAAGCTCAATAAATTCTATCACTTGCAGCAGACACCACATGAACTGATGAACATGCTCAACTGTTTTCGTTCCCACCTAAAATTGGAAATTCCAATAAAAGTAAAAAACCCTGTCTAAACTTCAACCAAAGTTTTTACACATTCCCTTTCTTTTTTTCTCTTCCTTTCCTAAGGTCAAAAATATAGTGAACGGACATCGGACGCAATCCATCGTCAAGCTAATAGGACTTGCAAGGCAAAACACGTGTAAAAGGATTTATGCCTCATATGCAGTACAATCCCAAGATGACAATTGGATTACAGTTTAAAAGAGGAAACATAGAATAACCCTTTCTAAAAGCAAGATAAATTTCAGATTGCAAATTTCAATTTACCAGGGCAGCACCAGATCTTCCCCACCCAGATGACATATTAACAATAACTCCTTTCTTGCTTGAAATCATAAGTGGGATGAAGTGACGCAATACGTTTACGGTCCCTTTGACATTTGTCTCAAGGACAGTATCAAACTCATCAGGAGGAACCTCCCAGATCTTGGAGTTCTTGTTAATTGTACCTGCATTATTTACTGGCAACAACCAGTCAAATTTCAGTTCAGTTTCACATATAGATAAAATCTCCCGAAATGCAAAACAGAAGAGTTTGTAGGCGGCAAGTAACTGCTTAGCACCATTAATTTCGACTGAGCTATTATAGTTGAGTTAAACACATAGAAACAGTCTAAAACAGCCGAAGAGGCACAGCATGTGCATGACTCTATCATTGTAAAGTTACACTAGTTAAAATTTCATGACCTAGGGTACTAGAATCAGTTGCAACGTCACAGACTAGGCATCCATCGAAGAATTTGCTAACAATATAACGTAACAAAGACTCTTGAATATGCTAGAATAGAGGAGAGAAGGAACAATTACAAAGGTGTAAATAAGTAGTTTACCCTGCCTAAATGTAAATTAATTAGAATTGGGTAACTTTTACCTTTGACCGTTTGATGAATTCTAGAAGGGCAAATTTCTCATATTTCTTGCATTTTATATTTTTAATTTTTTTAAAGAGAACTCTGATCCTCTTCTCCTACTAATAATATTTTCTACAAATTAACATATCCTATGTTTTCTGAGAAAAAGGAAGAACATGGGCATGGAAAGCTCTCCCAACTCCTCATTTTCCTATCTCCAGCAAACAAAAATTGCATGATGACTTTCATTCCAAAGCTCTAGAAAAATTGGGCAGGGAATAAATTCACAAATTTGGCCTTTTTCCTAAAAGAATGACCATTGGCTGTCTGTTCCACAAGGTGCAAGGAGAGAAATGGCTCTCTCATTTGCAGACACACGAAACACACACCAATGCTCAGTCCTACTGGTCTTATTAGGTGTTAATTTTCCACTTGCCCATTGCCTCATTGGCCAAATGCCAAGAACCACACTTCATTTTGTGAATTATTGACACCCAAACCCAGTTCCCCTCTCTCAACAAATACAGAAAGCAAGAACACCTGAATGAACATGCAATTCTAAGAAATCCCAAACAAGAATCCGCAGTTGTCGGTGAAAAAAAGAAAATACCAATGATATCAGGAACGCCCTTCCTTTCAACGACAAGGCGCGCCAAGTGTTCAACGCTGGCATTGGACCTCTGCAAGCCACAATTGCTGAGAAACAGAGATGGGAATTTAGGGGAAATGAAGGAATTGAATGAATGCTAACCACATCGGCGGGGAGGAGGAAATGGGAGTCGGGGGAAGGGGAGATGAGTTCGGATTGGAGAGAATCGAGTTGATGCTGAGACCGAGAGCAGCCAATCACGGTGTGGCCACGCTTTGAGAGCTCAACGGCAAGGGCTCGGCCGAGTCCTTTGCTGACGCCGGTGATGAGGACGGTCCGCGAGTGCGCACCCGCTCCTAATCCCTTCACTCCCTGCATCCCTGTTTTACTCCTTATTCTCAACCCTGATGGTCCAGCCTTTCTCCTACTTCGTGTTTTTGTTTTTGTTTTTGTTTTTTTTCCTACTTCCTATTTTAAGAAATTTATTCGTCAAATTATACAAAATGCACTAGGTTTGAATTATGTCTCTAAGTTTTATTTTAACTCTCTTAGTCTCTAGTCTAAGTTTGAGGCCACACTTACAGATTTTTTTAGACTTAAATACAAAAGATACCATTTAGTAAAATAATATATCTTTTTTTTTTTTTGAGAAAAGTAAAATAATATAAAGTAAAATTAAAAATTATTATAATTAATTATTTTTTCAATAAAAAAATCTCATAACATCCTTTTTAATAAACGCAATTTTAAATTAGTTACAAATACATAAGAGTATTTTGGTAATCATCATATGTCTGATTACGATTCGAGATGGAAGCAAATACCATGAATTGGTTTCTGATTCCGATTTAAGATAATTTCAAGTAAACAACATCAATGGAATAATATTCCGATTCATTTTCATTAGGATTCAATTCCATTACGATTCATGGTAAGTAAATGGGGCTTGAGTGTGTTGGGAAGCTTGAGACTGTAAATCCTGTATTTGAGGTGAATGTGTAACATGAAATTGGGTAGCCAATCTTTGAGGTGCATGAATGTATTTGAGATGAATGTGTAATATGAAATTTGGTAGCCTTTGGGATGCATGAATAACCTGAGTTTTGAGTTATTTGAATTTTTTTTCTTCATTTCTTTTTGAATTATTTACCCCTTTATAATATGGGTATTTCATTTTAAATTTGCTATTTCATAATTCAATTTATTTATTTTCTTTTATTCATCGACCACCATGCATTCTCAAATTTAAATTCAATCAAACTGTTCACAATAATTTAGAACGAAGTTTCACATTGCATGTAATTTAAAAAATATGTTGATTTGACCTACATAAAAAAATACATTGTCTAGATTATTTCTAAATGATAAGTTAAAAATAACACTTCATATATTTATGATGCTTTAATATGACTCAGTTCAAAATGAATATCATACTCATGCTTTTGCTTTGCGTATGGTAAATTTGAAAATCAAATAACTTTTTTCACGCTAATAGACACACATCTCCTTTTTCACACTCGCAGCCCCACATCTCCTTTTTGAATACTGCTCCCCCCAAATTTCATCGGCCGCTGCCTCCACCATTTCAATTTGCCCCTCGGTGCCCAGTCGAACTCAGTCCGCCGTCACTGACCCCGATACGCCGCCAACCCCGTAGTGCCCGTCCACTTTCCGGCAATTTTCTTCCGCGGCAGTCTCACTCGATTAGTGGAAGGTAAGTCCGGTAGTCTTTTTGTTATGATATTTGAGATCTTGAACGATGAAAAACGAACAAAAATTAAGCTTACAAAGTTGTTTTTGGCCATTCTGTATTTTAGAGATATTTTCCACATGAGTGTGTCATTTAGAATCGAATCTGAGAAGTATATCTACTTAATTCGAACAACTTTCTATATTTAAATAGATTAAAATATAAATAAAATAATAGGTATGGTGAAGGTTAGAGGAGAATTAGAATAGTGGTGAACTAATTAAATACAAAAACGTGATTAATTAATAAAATAGTGCTCATTGATCCTAACTACTATTGAAAATTTGTAAATTTATTAGTTTTTGAAAAAAAATATTTTTATATTTTTATTTATTTATCAACAATTTAATAGTAAACGTGAAAAGGAAACGAATTTCTAATCTTGTTCTGCTGCCCTCTATTCCAAATTGTATTAGTTAGTTGATTAGCTCTGGAGCTTCCACTCTCCTTACATACTCCTTTTTCTAATTAAGATTTCCCATCCAATCCACTATATTCATTTTAAAAAAATATTTTTATAATTGAGCTACGTACATGTATTAACCCTCTAATTTTGATAATTGAATTACATACGTACATGTATTGATCTTCTAATTTTAATAATTTTCCAATTAGTAGATTCATGTATTGACCTTCTAATTTTGATAATTCTTCAATTAGTATATTCATGTATTGACCTCATAATTTTGATAGATAATATATACAGACCTTTTAATTTTGATAATTGAGTTGTAGAGTGATATATACATGTATTGACCTTCTAATTTTAATAATTTTTCAATTAGTAGATTCATGTATTGACCTACTAATTTTGATAATCTTTCAATCAGTATATTCATGTATTGTAATGATATATACATGTATCATTACATACATGTATTGATGTTATAATTTTGATAATTCTTCAATTATATACATGTTTAAATTAATTCAAATTCAAAATAAAATAATTTAAATAATTTAATTGGTGCTAATATATTTAGAAAATAACCTAAAATCCCTTGTAGGAAAATGAATTTGATCTCAAATCAATTTTGTTAGGGGCAACTAGATGAATAACTAAATTAAATAGTTTGATTTGAAAAATAGTTAAAATAATCAGATATAAGAAAAATAGCTAAATAACAGTTAGAACTGAACTACGTGATTTTATGTAGACAAATTTACCCTCCCATCAAAATAGGTAAGTTTATCCTACCATTACCCCTATAAATTCGTGATGAAACCACACTTCAATAAATGTGTAATGCACCTAAATTGTAGGAAAGAAGACAATGAATGGAAATTATAGAGTTCAAAAATTTTAAATAATATATAGATTTCAAAATTTCCAAATTTGTAAGATAAATCTGTTGAATACTTTGAAATAAAAAAAAAGATTGAATCAAAGTGTAAAATAAACTAAAAAAAATGTAAAATCAAATTAGAAAAGTGGAAAAATAAAGATTGAAGCCGTAAAGTACTGTTTTTAAAATTATAGATGGAGTAGTTGAAGATTAGTACCATATTAGGATCCATTATGGAAGGGAAGGCAACTCAAATGACTCCTTCTCACTTTTGCCCTTAACTCATTCTTCTCACACTTGCCCTAACTCTTCCTTCCTAAAATCAAATAAAATTTGATTCAATCAAGTCTCAAGCCCCTCAAGCCTCGTGCGCCTCAAGCTTTCGGTGTCCATCTTTGGCGTACACAATCTTCGACATCCCTCTTCCCACTCTTGCCAGAACCTAAATAACCTCCTTCGGGTAAGCTTTTGGTGTCCCTCTTGGGGTAGACAATCTCCTAGCTTCGTAATCTCTGATTCTTCTAGTTGAAATCAAAATCCCTTGATTTCAATGGTGGATAGCTTTAGGCAAAATCCCTTGAAATCAAAAATTGAAATTCTAGGTGATTGTGTGATTTCAATTTTGAAGCTTCAATTGAAATCCTGTGTGATTTCAAATTGGGTACAAAATCCTAATTTTAGATTCTGGCATTCCTTCGGCAAAATTCCTTGAAGCTTTCGGGTACAAAATCACTTGAAATAAAAAAATTGAAATCATCCATTGGCGTTCCTTCTCAAATCCTCCTTCTAAAATCCTCCAAATTTCGACGTTCCTCCTTCAAGGGAAAGTAGTCGACTGTTTTTGTTTTTAATCGATTGTTTTGTAATACTCCAAACCTCATTGTTTTTGTTATCAACAAGGTTATTCATCGATCGATTTTGAATGTTGTTTAAATAAATGAGGTTTAAATAATTGACCGTTTGTTAGCAACCTCCAATATTCAAGGGATTTTGTTGGACACAACTTGTTTTTAGGACACCTTGTAGATATGGTCAGTTGGGGAGATTATATTGAAAATATAGTTTAGATTAAATAATAAATAATAAAAATCGATCATATCTCTCCTTAGGTAAATATTAATATATGTTTCCTTGATTGCTAATATGCATTTTTTATTTTGTTGGTTTTGGTTACCTTTTTGTCATATTTTATGGATTGATCTTTGTTCTGATTTAGTGATAAAGAAAGATTATGTGATGCAAAATATGACTATTTTCTGCAGATTCTTTCGAGTAATGTTTCAGTAACTCGATGACTAATTCTCATATATCAAGAATTAAAATGAGGCTTCTTAGAATGCAATGATCGTGGTATATTAGTCATGAATGTTGATGGACAGGGATAACTCTATAGAATCCTATATCTACCCCGTTGTATTGACGTCTCTTGCTTATTTTGTGAGATCACCTCTAGTAGCCATATATTTACACATCCATCGTATCTCTCCTTATATTAATATATGTTTCCTTGATTGCTAATATGCATTTTTGATTTTGTTGGTTTTGGTTACCTTTTTGTCATATTTTGCATTGATATTTGTTCCGATTTAGTGATAAAGAAAGATTATGTGATGCAAAATATGACTATTTTCTGCAGATAGTTTTCAATCTATTTTCGGCGTCTGAACTTTCACTACTCCCGTAGATAGTGTTATATACGGGGTCAGTATCTACAACTATGCCGTAGTCGCTGCACCTAACATCCGCCAACAGGGATATGACCCACGCCGCGTCCCTATCTACTAACAGCCTCATAATTATCGACTTGCCAGTACCATTTCTGAAAAGTGAAAGACGTGTAATTTTTTTCATTCTAAAAAATGAAGATCTCTAGAGATACATCCACAGAGTTGTTGTAGGGTGGAATCAAATGGAATTGAAACGTGCCTTGTAATGAACCTTTGATAATTGTTGTGCTCCTCCCAACTAAAATCGTCGCTAACAATGATCGCATAATGTTCCTGTGTTGATTGATTTAATTCTTGAAAAAATGTGGTGGGGATTACACCTTGTATAAGAATATTAAAGAAACATTGTATTTAAGGTTGCTGATTACAGTGGAATGTTCAAACCAATTAGTTAGGTTTGTTTGAAAAAATTACACATTTTAAACTTGTTTGAATCATATATGTAGATTTGGTGGTTTGAATTTTGTGGAAAGATTTTAGGAATTATATAGATTTTGTAGTTAAGGGTGATTTCAATATTAAGTATGATATAGGTAGATTTTGTGGTTTAAATTTTGTGGAAAGATTTTAGGGATTATGTAGATTTTGTAGTTAAGGTGGTTTCAATATTAACTCGATAACATTGCTAGTTTAGGAGAGATTTAAGGGAATGTAGTGGGTAAAATGGGGAAAGAC